GGTGCGGGGGACTTGTGGGGGGCTGGGGCCTTGTGGGGTGCTGGGACCTCGTGGGGTGCTGGGACCTCATGGGGTGCTGAGGCTTTAGGGGGTAGGGGGTCCATGTAGGGTGTCAGAACATAATGGGGTGCTGGGTCCTTGTGGGGTGGCCAGGTCCTTATGGGGTTCTGGAGCCTTCATGGGGTGCTGGGGACTCGTGGGGTGCTGGGACCTCGTGGGGTGCTGGAGCTTTGAGGGGTGCTGGGTCCTTTTGGGGTGCTGGGACTTCATGGGGTGCTGAGGCTTTAGGGGGGTAGGGGGTCCATGTAGGGTGTCGGAATATCATGGGGTGCTGGGTCCTTGTGGGGTGGCCAGGTCCCTATGGGGTTCTGGAGCCTCATGGGGTGTTGGAGCTTTGTGGGGTGCTGGGACCTCATGGGGTGCTGGAGCTTTGAGGGGTGCTGGGTCCTTTTGGGGTGCTGGGGACTTGTGGGGAGCTGGGGACTTGTGGGGTGCTGGGACCTCGTGGGGTGCTGGGACCTCATGGGGTGACGGAGCTTTGAGGGACGCTGGGTTCTCCCAAGGTTCTGGGACCTTTTAGGTGCCCACCTCCGGGGAGTCCCCATCCCCACCTTGACCCCCCACCCACCCCTCGGGTTTGGGGGGGTACCGGGACCTCATGGGGTGCTGAGGCTTTAGGGGGTAGGGGGTCCATGTAGGGTGTCAGAACATCATGGGGTGCTGGGTCCTTGTGGGGTGCCAGGTCCCTATGGGGTTCTGGAGCCTCATGAGGTGCTGGAGCTTTGTGGGGTGCTGGGACCTCATGGGGTGGTGGAGCTTTGAGGGGTGCTGGGTCCTTTTGGGGTGCTGGGTCCTTTTGGGGTGCTGGGGACTTTGTGGGGCACCAGGACCTCATGGGGTGATGGAGCTTTGAGGGACACTGGGACCTCATGAGGTGCTGGGACCTCATGGGGTGACGAAGCTTGGAGGGACGCTGGGTTCTCCTAGGGTTCTGGGACCTTTTGGGTGCCCACCTCCGGGGAGTCTCCATCTCCACCTTGAGCCCCCACCCACCCCCCGGGTTTGGGGGGGTACCTGCTCCCTCGGGGGTGTCCTGGCAGAGCTCGTAGACCTTGTAGGGCTGGAGAGGGGTGGCCTTGGTGCCGTCGAAGAGCAGGCGGAACTCCCTGCTCTTGTTGAGGGCGCAGCGCAGGTTGGCCTTCCACTTGGCGGGGTCCGGGGCGTCCACCCCCGCCGTGAACTTCCCCGTCTCCTGTGCCCAGGCCTGGGGCACCATATTGGGGGGGAAGGGGGGGTCAGCACCCCACCCCGGGTCCCCATTGTCACCCCAACATCTGCCCCCGAGTCCCCACCGACACCTTGGTATCCCACCCAGGTCCTCATGGCACCACGGCATCTCCAGCCCGTGGTCTTCTCATCACAACCAGCACTCCTGGCACCCCACCCCGGGTCCCCACTGGCACCCCGGCACCCCACTGTCACCTCAGCACCCCACTGTCACCCCGACACCTCACTCAGGTCCCCATGTCACCCTGCTACCCGCCCAGGTCCCCACTGTCACCTCCATCCCATGTTCCTCTCATCACAACCATCACTACCAGCAAGACACCCCTGGTCCCCATTGTCACCCTGACACCTGACCAGGTCCCCATGTCACCCCAGCACCCAACCCAGGTCCCCACTGTCATCCCAGCACCCAACTCAGTTCCTACTGTCACCCCAGAACCTGTCCAGGGTCCCCATTGTCACCCTGACACCTGACCAGGTCCCCATGTCGCCCCAGCCCCCACCCCGGGCCCCCATTGTCACCCCATCAGCACCGTCACCTCCACCCCGTGTCCCTCCTGTCACCCCATTGTCCTCATCTCCTGTCCCCCCTTGTCACACCGTCACGCTTCTCACTTCCATCCCGTCCCCATGTCCCCCCATCACCCCCATCCTCTTGTCCTCCTTGTCCCATCACCCCCATCCCCTGTCCCCCTTGTCTCCCCATCATCTCCATCCCCTGTCCCCCTTGTCACCTCATTGTCCTGTCCCTCCCATCCCATGTCCCCCATGTCCCCC